ACAGCCTGCTGTAAATGGGGGGCAGTGAACACACAGCCTGCTGTAAATGGGGGGCAGTGAGAACACAGCCTGCTGTAGAGAAGGGCCCCTCAGGGGGTTGTCCTTGGTGTCCACTCTTGGCCGTGAACTACAAAGGTCGCCTCTCTCAGACTCTCCCCCCACCCTGCATGACCCGCACACCCTCCCCCTTCCCACTCTCCTACATCTGGGCAGCCGGCCCTCTGCCATCCTCACCAGAGCCCAGGGGGCGTCCCGGTTCCTATACTGCAGCTCATACTGAAGCTTGCCCTTCAGCGCGGAGGAGGCAGGGTCTTCGTAATCAGAGCTCCAGGAGATCTCGTACTGCCCCGAGAAGGTCACAGTCACATTGAAGGGGGGAGACGGCTTGACTTAGAGGAAAATGCCAGACACATAAAAACAGGTGAGATTTCATATTAGGAGAGAAAAATTTGATGACGAGAAGATTTCCCAGGCCTGACCCCTTACTTGTGAGAACAGGACTGTGACTTTGCACAATGTACCACCTGTCTCTGGGCCTCAGTTTGCTCATCTAAAAAATGGGAGACTTCTACTACACTAAGGAGCTCTGGTCAGACCAGCCACTCCTCGGAAGGAAGGTTGGGCAATCCTACTTCCGTAGTGATACTGCCTCGGAAACCCAAGGAGGGGTCGCTATGAGTCGGGGCCGACTCGACAGAACATAACAACAACAAAGGAGCTCTGGTGGCGCAGTGCCTAAGGCATTTGCCTGCTAACCAGATGGTTGGTGGTTCAAATCCACCAGTCTCTCCATGGAAAGAAGATGGGACAATCTGCTTTCATAAAGATTTACAGCCTTGGAAACCCAATGGGAGTTACTATGAGTTGGAATAGAGTCTATGGCAGTGAGTTTGGTTTGTGTGTGTGTGTGTGTGTGTGTCTGTGTGTTTTCTCCAACTACATTGGGTTGCAAACTCATATGCCTCCCACAGCAGGCTAAACTAACTAAAAAAATAAAAAACTCACTGTCATCGAGTTGGATCCGACTCATAGCAACCCCTCCTTGGGTTTCCGAGGCGGTATCACTACAAAAGTAGATTGCCCAGTCTTTCTTCCAAGGAGTGGCTGGTGGGTTTGAACCACCAGCCTAATGGTTAGCAGTCAATGTGCTACGCCACCAGAGCTCCTCCCAGGGCAGGCAGGTAACAGAAATGGAGTAAACAGGTTTGGGGAGGAGGATGGTGCACAGCTACACCTCAGATGTGGGAACACAGACTAGGCCCAAACTATCTACGTTTTCACAAAAGTAAAACAACTCCTGGCAATCCAGACTTGTATGTGAAATCCTCTACTGTAACAAGTCAAGGAAAGGTTTATACTTGGAAGGAAGCTGTCTTTGTTGGTTACTAGGGATGGGATGGGAGGGGAGGGAACACTGCTAGAAAGGTAGAGACAAGCATTGATTTGGGTGAAGGGAAGGAGAAATGCACCAAATATGAGTGACCAACACAGTGGCACTGATGAAGAGGAAGACACAGAGAGACGCATGTGAGGTACAGACAACAAAGATGAACCTTTTTGCACGTACAGTACTTCACTGTCGGTGATGGCAAACATTGATCTACAGGTGGGTAGATGGGTGGACAGGCTGAATGATCAGATTTGTACGTGAAATCTCAAGTTTTAAAACTTAGCTATGAGTCCAAACACTTTCTAAGCAGATCCACTTATTTTCAATTTCTGTTCCAAATGACTGTATGGTTTTGTTTCAACCCCAAAAGTCAGAAGACTGTCACGAACATTGACAGCAATGATGAAATGGACCGCTGAGCCCGTGCCTGCCCCACGCTGCTCTGTACTCGGCAGTGTGACACCTGCAGGGACCCTGGTGTGGCTGTTCTCATCCTACAGACATCTCCTGACAACTGGAGCCACCTGCCCACTGGCTCCCATTGGCACATGGAGAGCTGACATCTAGACCCACAACCTCAAGCTGTCAATGATGCCCACAGGCAAAGGTCAGAGGTGTGGATTCCAGCTTTGCTCTATCATAAATTTGTTTTATGAACTTGAGCAAGACACTATATGCTATGTGGCTTAATTTCCTCTCCTGAAAATATGGTACCAGTTTCTGTCTCATGGGGCTTAACATTCCCAAGCACCCTGGTAAAGGGCAGACGGTGAGGCCCTCAGGGCACAAAGCACCAAGCCCACGTGTGAGAGAGACGTGTCCAGCCCTGCCCTCCCCGCCCACCTTCTCTGCTGCCCCCATCTAATATTCTACACGCTTCCCTCTGTGACTCTGTGTACCATCTGCCTCCCCCTCTCATGATGCTGAAAGCTGTATCATCAGTATTTCAAATACCAGGCAGGGTCACCCAGCAGGGTCACGGCTTTCAGTGGAGCTTCCAGACTGAGGCAGACTAGGAGTAAAGGCCTGGTGACCTCTTTCTGAAGCCTTATGTGGTGGTTAAGGTTGCATGTCAACTTGGCTGGGCCTGGTTGAGTGGCTGGGCAGCTGGATATAGTATTCCCCATGATGAGACTGGTAATCAACTCCATGGTGGAATCTACTGTGAGCAGCTGAGTAGCTGCCTTTGGGATGTGGTCTGCTTCCTGTATATAAGGAGAAGCCTTGGGGAATGGTCTGTAGCTTATGGCATGCTTGGACCCTGCATGTAGCTGTGTCATTGTTCAGCACCCTGCCATGCTCTGCTGACTTTGGGACTTACAATGCACTGGAATTAATGACCTGCCATGTGGTTTGGTAACACTGGGACTGTGCCTTTTTACTTGTCAACCTTGGGCTTGTCTGCCTCAGCAGCCAGCAGCTGTCTGAGTGAAGAAAAGCCTCTAGCTCCAGTGGGCTGGGAGCTGGAGGTAGAGCTGAAGCCCAAGGCTGAGGGGCTTTCACCCAACCCCTAGAGCCTGGCACTTTGAACTTGGACTTAAAGCCTCCAAATTGTAAGAATAAACTCCTGTTTCTTTAATCATCCCACTTATGGTATATATTCTTGTCAGAGCAGCCCTAGGGAACCAGAACACCCTATGAATCACAACAGAAATTGGATGTGGTGCTAGAAGGTGAGCCCCTGGGTAGGAAGTCCCTCAAAACACAGGGCCACAACGATTGACTTGCGTGTCATTGTGGAAATGGTGCGTCATGGCAGAGACGGCGCAGGGCCAGGCGATGTTCCTCTCTGTTGTACTTGGGGTCGCCATGAGTTGGCGCCAACTTGAAGCCACCTAACAACAACAGCCCTCTCTGGGATCCTGCTCCCGGGAGCAGGGTTTTGTCCATGCTGTGCCCACACTGGCTCTAAGAGCAGTGCCTGGTGACCAGCGAGCACTCGGTACAGAGCCGTGGAATCCCAGTGAACCTGCCTTTCAGGGGTTCCCCGCAGCAACTCTCAAGCTGCTGAGGACTCTGAACACCCCCCAGGGCTCCAACCACAGCCCGAGATGGAGAAGACCCACTTTGAGGAATGTCACTGTGTGTGATGAGACGATGACAGTACTGTTGCTATCTTATTGGCAGTGGTAGGTCCACTTTGGGGGACTAGTTCCTGATACGTCTTTTCTCTTCCTCAGGGAAAGTCGTGCTACCTGGGCTGGGGCACTGGCTAGTGGCCAGAAGTGATTAAAAGACACTGAATAGCCAAGAACGGCCTTGTGGACCTCAGGGGATGCTTGAGGAGCCAGGGAGGCATGAATGGGGCCTGGTTCTTGGCCCAGAGAGGCCAGGGGCCCAGGACGGAGCAGCCAGGGATAGAAAATGAATGTCTGCCACAGCCTGCCTCAGACCCTGGCAGGCAGGAAGGCAAGGAGAGGGCCAGAGAGTAATGGAGCCACCTCACAGGGATGTCCCAGGGCCCCCCTGTTTCTGTGAGATGTGAAGATGGGGGTTGCCACCTGCCCAGCTCACCCAGGGGGGCTGGAGGGCTGCCCTGCTATGGGGCATGGGTGTGGGATGAGCTCAACATATCTGGATCTGTGTGGCTGTGTGTGACTCTGTGGGCCTCAGTGTCCCTACCTCTAGGCCAGGGGCTGGCGGGCCATCTGCGAGTTGATCTGCGGTTTATTTATGGGTGAGCCCCAGGACCAGGGGCTGTGAGTGTGTATGAGTCTGTGTGGAGTCTGGGTGTGTGTGGGGCTTTACCCATACCCTCTACGGTGCAAACCCAGCCCCAAGAGTGTGAATCACTGAGCTCTCATATCTGCCCTGCCCTGCTAAGGGGAATCTCAGGACAGAAACTCCCAAACTCCACACACGCTGCCTCCCCTGCCTTGCCCTGGCTCCGATCCAGAGATACAATTGCTTCTACCAGCAGTTTTCTGCCCCTGGGCTCCTCTTGACCTCCAGCCTGGACTGAAGCTCCAGGCGTCACTGGAGCTAAGAAGGGGGAGGAAAGGCAGAAGGGTTTCTTTGTGACTCAATGTCTTCACTTGGTTCATCATGGAAGCAGAATCTCAGAGGGTCAGAGTCAAAGGAGTTTTCACTCTACAAATAGGGAAACTGAGTCCCAGAGGTGGGGCATGCCTTGTGTAAGGTCACACGGATGGGTGGGGACTGAGTGGCTACTGAAGCCCTTAAGTCCTAGGTCCCAGCCTAGTCCTTTCCACACCCCTGCTGCCTTTTTTTTTTTTTTTTTGGTGGGGGTGCCTAAGGTCCAAATGTAGTATCAACCCATCACACCTTAGTAAAAAATAGTGTATCTCATTAGTTCTCTGCTGCCTTGGTAACAAGGAGCAGAACTCAAAGAAGAGATGCAGGCATGGGACACATGCAAGTTTTGATGGAGGGAGGAGAGGGCAGGGAAGACAGGACCCAGTCCCCACACAGGATCTGCTCAGCTCTGGGGACCAAGGGATATACTCACTGCTCTCAGCCAGGACAAAGCTGCCACACTCCCAGGAGTGTCTGCCAGATGGGTCTGTCATGTTGACACTGAAAATGTCGTCGGCCATGAAGAAGGACACATCCATGTGACATGTGTACCATGCATGCGTTGTGTTGTGGGTTGACAGGTGGAGGCTGCAGGAGGTGACCTCATCCTCCAGTTCTCCATACAGGTCTTGCCTTCAAGGACAGAGCAGCTGGTCATGTCTGGGAGCCAGTGGTGCTCAGCCCACAGCACCAGGGCAGAAACCACAATATCAGGGCTGAGAGGGACCTGGTCCAACCAACCCTTCCCCCTGCACAGAAGGTTCCAGGCTCGGCTTACATGCCGCCAAGAACTCACTACCTCATTTAGGGTGGCAGCTCAACTTTAGGAGTTTGGGGTCATTGCTGACTGGACTGAGCCTTATCTACCCTTGTCATTCCATCAACCTGATCACTGTTCTACAGGAAAGATTTGAACACTTCAGACCTCCTCCCTCCAGTGCCTACAGAACACCTAATAGGTACCTGAGCTGACGGCTGAGATATGAGCTTATTCCCAGCTCTGGGGAAACTTCTGGAGCAGCTGGTGTGATAGGGTTGGGGAAAATGTTCTAGCTTTTTTACTCCAACTGAGCAGGAATGATGGGCTTTGAAGTATGGATAGGAGTTCACCAGATATTTAATTCAGGAAGGAAGGTTGGGCAATCCTACTTCCGTAGTGATACTGCCTCGGAAACCCAAGGAGGGGTCGCTATGAGTCAGGGCTGACTCGACGGCACATAACAACAACAACAGTGCCATAGTGCCTAAGGCAGTTGACTGCTAACTAGAAGGCTGGCAGTTCAAACCCACCAGCCACTCCTCGGGAGGAAGGTTGCGCAATCTATTTCCATAGTGATATCGCCTCAGAAACCCAGAGGGGTCACTATGAGTCAGGTCCGACTCGACAGCAGTGAGTTTGGTTTTTGGTTTATACACATATTCATGCTCTGAACAACCCCCAAGGTCAACATTGCTGTGTGTCAGGTGGATATGTGGACTCAGTTCTTTGTTAAATTTTTGTTGAAATAGAAACTTCTGCTGAATAAATGCCCTCCCAATACTATCCTGGAGGTCTGGCTGGTGTCCCTGCCTCACCTGCCCTCCCTTCCTGCTAACCTCTCAAACTGCCTGTCACTCCCCTGCCTAACGCCCTCCCCACCAGACAACAGAATCTGGCCCCTGCTGCTCTCTGCTTTCTCTGCTTGTTACCTGCCCTTGCTCCAGCTGGCACCGGCCTCTATTCCTCAACCTCCATTTGCCCTGCCGTGCCTTCTCCCCTTTCCCCAGCTCCCTGGCTGCCTCCTGGACCCAAGAGTGTCCTGACCACTGTCCTCATGCCACTTCCTCTCTACCAGTGTCTCTGTTTCTTGGTAGCACTCACTGTTGCCCTAAAGTAACCTGCTTGTTCTTCATGTGTTTATGTCTATCTCCCCGGCTCCTCCCCACACACAGTATGTTAGCATCAAGGAGTCAGGGACCTTGCCTGTCTTGAGCTCTGCTGAATGCTCAGAGCCTACAACAGTGCCTGGCAGGAGCGTAATCAGTGTTTTTATGAATGAATGGATGGATGCATAGATGATGGCATGAAATCCAGTGATTCTTTTTTCCTGAGCTGCACGTGCCCATGGTTTTTGTCATCAGACTGTTTCAGTGAGTTTGCCTTAGCTTGAATCCCATCTCTGTCATTCACTGGCTGTGTGATCTTAAGCCACTTGCTTACCCTCTCTGAGCCTCATTTTCCCCGTCTTAAAATGAAAGTAATGAGACCTTTCTCATGGGGTTATTGTGAAGATTGGAAGTGATGGTCTACGGGAAGCCCATAGCAAGGTGCTTGGCACATAGTAGGTGCTCAAAACTAGTCATCTGGGGGTCTGGCTGTCCTGGAATCTCAAACCCATTCTCAGAACTATTTGGACCACAGAGTGGCCTATGGAATGGGACAGTGCAGCTCTAGGCAAGTCCTAAGCACCCATATTTGTAAGGTGGTGATGGCGACTCCCACCTCAAAGAGTCATTCTTGGGGTGAAGCCAACTGCTGTGGGAAGAGGCAGCTGCTATGCTATTACTAAGCCACCTGCCTGACACACAGTAGGTCCAACTCAGGCTGTGGTCTCCTGTGTTCCTGCCCCAACCCAGCCCTCCTTGCTTCTTCTCCATGTTCTCAGAGCAGATCCACTTACCAGGTGAGGGTGAAGGTGTGGGGGTGAAGGGTCCCCATTTCCAGGACACAGGTGACTGTTTGGAGGTAGTCGGAGTAGCAGGCGAGGTCGGAACAGCCCCAGGCTGCAGGGTCAGGGGAGAGAGAGGCTTTGGTGGGGGGCGGGCTGGGGCTGCCGGGCATGGGGTGAGGCGTCCCTTTACTCTCCCAGGAGTGGAAGATGAGTGGGCAAGGGGGTCCTGGGCCCTGGATGGTCACTAAGCATCTGGGAATCCCTTGTTTGAGCCCCTAAATTCCAAAACTGATTATGAAGGCAAGACACTCCCCAGCGTGAAATCCAGTAACCTGAGCAGGCCCCCAGCTCAGCACCTCTTCCTACCCAAGTTCTGTCTCCGGCCACAGGCAGGGGTTTCTCCTGGTTACTCTCCTCTTTCTGTGTGGCATGTCCCAAACACCCCACAACACAGGGCAAAGCCAGGGAGTGTGGAACCACACCTAGCAAGAGGGTCAGGACTCCATGAAGTCCGCACAAGGGAAGCCCAATAAGGGATTTCTCGTGTTATTTGATAAATTCAAAGGCCAGTGCCACCACCACCATCCCATTATTTACAGGAATTGTCTTCCCTTGTAAAGTGGATGCATGTTAAGTAGTTTTTTCCTTCACCTAACAAAGACCCTAAGTAGCTCTGGTGGCATAGTGCCTAAGGCATTTGACTGCTAACCAGAAGGTTGGTGGTTCAAACCCACCAGTCACTCTGTGGAAGGAAGACTGGGCAATCTACTTCCATAAAGATTTACCGCTTCAGAAACCCACAGGGGGTCACTATGAGTTGGAATCGACTCAATGGCAGTGAGTTTGGGTTTAACGAAGACCCTTGGGTCTCACTCTAGGTCAGAACCTGGATTGATAACCCAGAGCGCTATTGCTGGAAATGTCCTGACAGATCCTCTAGTCCAACCCCTGCCCCCATTTTACAAATGAGACACCCAGGGCTTGGAGACCTGGCCACAGGTCTAGTTTCTCTTGGTCTAGGCCACGGAGACTCTCACCCTGACAGCAAAACCTAGTCTGTGCTGCTGCTCTTCCTAGTCACACACATGGCAGACATTACTAATCTATCGTGACACTCCCTCCCTGGATGCAGCCTCAGAATCCTCTCAACACAGTGCCCCAGGAGTCTGAGTCATGGAAATGAATCCTGTTCTAGGAAGGGGCTTCCCTTGGGATAGCACACAAGGCCAGTCAATGAGGCTGCGTGGGGCTAGACAAGGCACCTTGTGGACCAAAAAAAACCAAACTCACTTCCATTGAATTGGATCCGACTCATAGTGACCCCTCCTTGGGTTTCCAAGGCGGTATCTCTACGGAAGTGGATTGTCCAACTTTCCTTCCGAAGAGTGGCTGGTGGGTTTGAACGGCCAGCCTTCTGGTTAGCAGTCAGATGCCTTAGGCATTATGCTACCAGAGCTCCTTGTGGACTAAAGGAGGCTGATCTGGACAGGACTCAAACCCGGGGCTGCAGGAACCACCGTGTGGCTGTGTCTTCTCCAAGCTCATCTCTCAGGATTCCAGGAACTTGGAAAGGAGCTGTCATTCCCAGCTGGGCTCAAGGCCACTAAGGGACAGGTTTGTCCTCAAGCTTAGGATGAAATATTGGGGATCAAGCTGGCATGGAGGTGGCTGAGACCTGTCCCCCAGCCCCCGGGGCCTTTGCACGCCTGGGGTTATGAAAGCATCATGGCAGTGAGAAGCCATGCCGAGTGCAACCACGGACATGTCACACAAAACCTGTCTGTAAGCTGTGGGTGTGGACCTCTCACCCCAGAGGTACTGAGGCACTTAGATGAGGTCACACTGGGGAAGCCCTCGGAGCCAGCAGCTGAGCCACGTGGCTAAGGCTACAGGAGTCAGGCAGATTCAGAAACTGGCTCTGTCTGGTCACAGATCTGCCCCTTCTCTTCCCTGAGCCCCAGTTTTCTTAACTGAAAAACAGGCTCAGGGTAGCGCGGACCCCCCAGGGCCGTCAGGAGAGTGGAACAAGACCGTGCTCAGCGCCCAGGACACAGCAGCCACTATAGCAGTAACACCAGCCATGGAGGTCACTCTGACTCGTGGTGACGTCATGCACATCAGAGTAGGACTGTGCCCCGCGGGCTTGTCAATGGCTGGTTTCTCAGAAGTAGATCCTCAGGCTTTTCTTCCGCAGCACCTCCAGGTGGACTCAAACCTCCAATTTTTCAATTAACGCTTGAGGATGCTAACTGCTTGAACTATCAGGGACTCCAGGGGCATATTTGCAGTCCTGGTGTGGAGGTGGGGCGGGTGGCCTGAAGCCCTTTTAGTGCCAGGATGGGTGCTGGCCGATCAGAAAGGGAAAGTAAAAAAGAGCTGACATCTGTTTCCTGAAGGAGCTATTTGAGATGCTGGGTCTTTTGGTAAAAACCAGAGAAATATGGATGACTCAGCAGTGGTGGCTGACCACAACATCGCCTGCCCCATCCAGCCTCCAATCCTGCCTGTGAGCTCGGTCCTACCTCCTCATAGCCCCCTCCTCTGGGGAGCTCTCCTGGGTCTGCCAGCCCCAGGCAGCAACCCCTCAAGTCAGACTCCAGGGCTTTCCCAAAGCTATGTGAGACTTCTCTTTCAGGGGCTGCCTTCCCTAGCTTTCACACTTTTTGCCTCTTTCCCCCACCCCCAGCCTTTGAGGCACATGGGGCCTGCAGAGGATCCAGTAATTGTTGCAAAACAATCTCCAGGGAGAGTCATTACATAAGGAGAAACTGAGGTTAGACCAAAGGTAGAACTTCCTCACTCTGAGGGTTGGGAGTCAGCCAAGATAGTGTTGGGAGTGAAGGCTGGACTCTCTCATCCTCCCCAGAGACTTGAAAGCCCAAGCCCATGGCCTGGGCCACGGTGGGGCATTTCTCTTTAACAGAGCTCTCGGGTCAAACGGGTTCTGGCTGAAAGAGAGCTGGCTCTTGGACCTTGTCAGCCTCGAGTTAAGAGAAGCCATAGACCTGACCCTGTAGCTTCCAGCCTTGCTCCTGACAGGCTCACGGGAGGAAGCTGGCCCCTCCCCACCTGCAGACCTCAGGCTTACTTACCACCCTGGAACATCAGCAGCAGGAAGAGGGTGGCCCAGCCACACAGCATGCTGACTCCTGCAGCCTGCAAAAGACACACACGAGAGGTGGGCTGGCTGCGGTCCAGGAGCCTCCCGTTCCGTTCATCCCTGCCTCTCCCCGGGCAGACCTTCCTCAATTCTTGGATTTGTCTCAAAGAAACAAGGGTCTGAGGGCCCCCAAAGGATTCTTGCCCCTTGTAAATGGTTGTTTCACCCACCTTTCCCACCGTCTTCTGCTTCTTACCGAATAACAAATCCAGGGTTAGCCCACCAAGGAGACCCCTACTGACATGAGCAGACACATGCACACCCATGTTCATCACAGCACTGTTCACGATAGCAGAGAGATGTGTCCAACAACGGATGAATGGACAAACAAACCGATACATTTACACAATGGAATACCATGCGACATTAATGAACGACAAAGAATCCAGGAAACACCTCATAAACTGCATGAACCTGGAAGGCATGATGCTGAGTGAAATAAGTCATTCACAAAAGGACAAATATTGTATGAGTTCACTATTATATATCTATAGCATATCTATAATTGGTGAGTAGATACAGGCTAGGTGAACAGGGTTACACCCAAGACCATATGCAGGTTTGGCAGAGGATATTTCCACCTGATGGCATAGCACCTAAGGCATTTGACTGCCAACCAGAAGGTTGGTGGTTCAATCTCACCAGCCACTCCATAGAAGGAAGACTTGGCAATCTACTTCTGTAAAGATTGACTACCTCAGAAACCCAAAGGAGGATCACTGAGTCTGAATCGACTCAATGGCAGTGAGTTTGGTTTTTCTTGTTTATTTTTATGAGTGGTAATTACATCTATATATATATATAGTAGCACAAACAGAGGGCAAAGATAAAAACTTCTTAGCCATAACCAGTCACCCTGTGGGAATGGGTCACTGGGATTAGGGACACAGGATCACAGTCTCAGCGGACAGCTAAGTCAATTGGCATAATATGGTCCATAAGGGAATGTTCTGCAAACGACTGGGGTCTTAAAAGCTTATGAGCAGCCATCTGAGATGTAACCACTGGTCTCTCCCTTTCAGGAGGAAAGAAGAGTGAAGAAAATCAAAGACTCAAAGAAACAATTAGTCCAAAGGACTCATGGACCATGTGAACCACAGCCTCCACTACCTGAGACCAGACAAACTAGATGGTGCCCCGCTGCTACTATAAACCACTTTGGTTAGGACCACAGAAAGTCCTGGACAGAGTGGGAGAAAAATGTAGAACTAATTCAAAATCATAGACCAGATCTGACTGGTGGAACCCCCGAGACTGTGGCCACTAGTCACCTTTCAAGCCTGGAACTGAACCTACCCACCGGTGATCCCTTGCAGCCAAACAACAGCCAGTCCTAGAGAGTGAAAAACATGAGGAATGCACTCCTCAGAACAATCAACCGGATGAAATCAAAAGGGCAGCACGGACGGGAAAACAAAGCTCAAAGGCAAGAAAGAAAGACATGGAAACAGGAAGCCAGGGAGGAAGTGGGAAGACTGTTGTCACCTTGAGGGGACTGCAGCTAATGTTGCAAAACAAAATGTGTATAAATCATTGAATGGAAAAGTAATTTGCTGTAAACTTTCACCCAAACCACAATAAAAATGAATGAACGAAGAAAGGAAGGAGGGAGATGTCTATTGAATACCTGGGGTCTCCATGAGTTGATGACTACTCAGTAGCAATGGGTTTGGTTTTGCTGTTTGGTTTGGGTTTTGTTTGTTGGTTGGTTATTGAATATCAAAAGATTCAATAACTGAGATAAGGTTAAGATAAATTCTGTTGAACCGGTGGGCTCGGCACCATAGTTGCAGGGAACATAAAGCTCAATTGGCATAACTTACTACACAAAACATTGTTCCACCTCCTACTTTGGCGAGTAGCGACTGGGATTTTAAAAGCTTGCAAGCAGCCATCTAGATGCAATGATGGGTCTCTCCTCATCCAGAGCAAAGAATGAAGAAAACCAAAGATTCATGGGATCAATTAGTCTTAGTGACTGGTACACCATACGATCCTCAGCCTATATGA